CTCCCAGTTAAGGCCTAGATTCTGACTTCCCGAGAAAGGGCATATGACCCTGAGGAAAGTGAATGTCTTATGGCAGTCGACCTCGATTGTGTCGAGGAGAAGAGAGAACTGACAGCCCGGAGAGTCACCGAATATCAGAAGACAGTTGTGAGGGCAGAAAGAACAAAAACACTTGATGACGAAGAGAACTGCTACTGGAGTGTTGAAATCGCTCGGGAACGTCTGATCTCAAAATAGCTATAGAGTGAGCGCAATGGGATCCTAGGAGGCCATATTTATAGGAGGCGTTTGGTGGGAAACATTTCGAATTCTGAAAAGTGCGCTCGAATCCCGATGCGCACCATCGCCCAACACGTATATATATACCGCTGGCCCAATCAACGATAGTCCCTAGCAACGGCTATAAGCCCGTACCGCACCTGATCCGCGCCGAAAACACTAAGGGGAGGGAAGCGACCAGAGGTAGCCCGAACCCTTCTTCACGGACTATCGTCAAGATCCGGGCTAGGGGGCCTACTTGATAGGGATACTGCTAGGCTGAACACCCGACTGCGGGTAATATGATCGGTAGTGAAGCTTGAGGCATCGTTGGTCTTGACCCGATCGATCCTGACCATAACTCTCAGGCTCCCGACCGTTTTTACCTTTACGAGCGCATGATCAAACTAGTTTTTGCTTTTCTCGGGTCGTGCGAAGGGCCCGACCGCGCCGAATTGGTCCCGGGTGCCCTAACTTCAGTATGATGTGGCCTTGTCAGGAATATAGCATCACGCGTCAATGGCCCCTTTAGCCCCGACCTAGACCGATGCATGCTCGCCACGTGCCATCCATGCCAAGAACCCGGGTCCTGTCCCCTTCTCACGCCTATAAATAGCGCATTTATTACTGAGAATGGAGACTTTTTACCTGCTTCACACCAGTACTATTTAACCGGAGACTCCCGACCCACTGTTTGAGGATCCCGAACTCAAATACCTCATACACCGTGCAATACATATACGTCCGTATATAGTGTATCAATGTCTATATTACTAAATTGTCTCTAAATTTGGATGGAAAAAGATTGCAGTATCACTTATGTTATTATATATGTATATATAAATTGACTGAATATTTATCATAATCAAACATCCAAACTAATAAAATCACATATGATTATATGATTACAAATTTACAATATTCATCAATATGTAAATCTTTTATATATTTTTCATTAATTCATCATATATTAATCCATATGTGATCAGTTATGCATATGAAAGCAGTACCAATTCAGAGAGCATGATTAGAGGAGAAATTAGCAACGTTTTGGTAATATAATGATGATGACCATGGATTATTTAATTTACAACTAGCAAACATGCCAGCCATCAACCCATCAATTCAATTTATCCATTCAGAGTCATTGAAACACATTGATTGATTTATCTCTTTTAATCCGTTAAGTTAAAAGACGGATTGAAGAATTATTGTGATACAACCATAGTGTTGCTACAGTTATTATTATTATTATTATTATTATTATTATTATTATTATTATTATTATTATTATTGTTATTGTTAACGGGGAGAAAATTCAGAGTGAGGGTACATGCACACATATCGAGTTAGAAATGCAAGGGACCAAATACGGAGCTGATCTGATTTCCACGTTTTAGAATTCTCTGGAGCAGATGGTATCTTGGGTATGCAATGGTTAGAAGGGTTAGGAAAGGGTGGCAAACCATAAGAACCTTACAATGAAATTTGAACACAAAGGTCAGCCATTTAAGTTGGGCTGGAATCCATACCCCTTCGGTCCAATCAGTGTCCTGCCACCAATTATTGAGGTTGCCACAAACTGGTGCAATGGATGAAAGCTACATACTTCTAGTCCAACCCAAAAGTCTTGCACTTGACCAAATTCACCCGTTTATTCAGAGTCTTTTATCCGTATAATCCGTGGTCTTTGACACTCCAAAAAGCCTTCCACCAAATAGAACCTTGAACCATAAGATCACTCTCTTGCCACACTCAACCCTTGTAAACGCCAAACCATACCTCTATCCCCACTTCCAAAGAAATGAGATTGAACGATTGGTCCAAGAGTTGTTACGTGATCAAATAATTCAGCTTTCTACCAGTCATTTTCTTCCCAGGTCTTGCTGGTCCGAAAAAAAAATGGGACCTAGAGGTTTTGTGTGGATTATAGGGCTCTAAACACTGTTTCTGTAAAGGAACGTTTCCCATTCCAACTATCGACGAGCTTCTTGATGAGCTGCATAGTGCTGTCATCTTTTCCAAGCTCAACTTACGAAGTGGGTATTTCTAGATTCGTGTCCACCCACCAGATATTCCTAAAATAGCGTTTCGCACCCATGAAGGACATTACGAGTTCCTCGTGATGCCTTTTGGGCTCACAAATGCCCCATCCACCTTCCAGGCAACTATGAACGATGTCTTCAAGCCTTATTTACGGAAGTTCGTCGTGGTTTTCATTGACAACATCCTGGTTTATCTTCCTTCTCTGTCTGAGCATATTCATCACCTTCAAGTTGTTCTAGAAACACTCTTGCAACACCACTTGTTTGCAAAGATGTCTACGTGCGGTTTTGGCCAACATCAACTAGAATACTTGGGACACCTAGTCTCAGTAGATGGTGTATGTGTTGATCCTGCCAAAATTCAAGCCATTTTGGATTAGCCGAAGCCTAAAACAATGTCAGAAGTGCTTGGCTTCCTAGGCATGATCGGGTATTATAGATGATTCATTCAAGGATATGCCAAAATAGCGTGTCCATTGACATAACTCCTCAAGAAAAATGGGTTTGATTGGGGTGAAGCTATGGAACAATCTTTCATGAAGCTAAAGCAAGCCATGACCGCCACCCCGGTATTGGGTCTTCCTAACTTTGAATTGCCATTTATAGTTGAGACCGACGCTTCTGGGTGTGCAATTGGGTGCGCAATTTTGTCTCAAAATAAATAACCCATTGCATATTTCAGTAAGAAACTCCCATCTCGTTACCTGAATGCTTTGGCATATAGCTGACAATTACAGCTACAGTCCGTCGTTGGCGTCCATACCTGCTCGGATGACCATTTACAATTGTTACAGATCACCAGAGTCTCAACTAGTTACTTCATCAAACCATTTAGACTCCAGAACAACAGCGGTGGCTAACTCAACTTTTGGGTTTTGATTTTGTTATTCTGCACAAATTAGGTGCCGATAATAGTAGACCAGATGCCTTGTCTCGATGGACTGCTGCGGCTCAGGGGGTGCTTCACGTCTGCTAGCACTACGTTCTTGTCTTCCTGTGACAATGAAAATCACAGACCCGACATGGTGCACAAATACGAGATAACATCCAATAGCCCAAAATAAATAGACAACACTAGAGACACACGATTTACGTGGAAAACCCCAAACCACAGGACCACTATGGTAAATCTTGGGTACAATATTTCACTATGGTAAATCTTGGGTACAAAGTTTCAAGCTACCACACGAGCCAAGCATCCAACAATCATCAAACACAACAACTCTAGGCCAAAAACTTCTATTATGTTCCACATGCCTAAAAGAATACTAAAGAATACTTAGGTGTCTTGAACAAACAAGCTGAAGTGAACAAACAAGTTGACCTCTACAAAATATTTGATGAAGATACCACCAAAAGCCTGGGCAAACCTCACAACAAATCAATCAAATGTGCGACAAAACTCGCTAAACACGTTGCCGTCATGTCGCCAAAAATAGTGGAGAATATCCTCACAGGACTGGTCAAGTCAAGTCTCTCTGCCTCAATATCACACACACACACACACACACACACACACATATATATATATATATATATATATATATATATATATATATATATATATATTTTGAAGAATGAAAGAAAAAGGAATTGAGTTTCCTTTTTCACAATTTAGCAAATTGCTTTCCTAACCATTCTGCCTTTCAACATTCACAATCCCTAATCCCTAATTATATAAATTGGTTTCCTTTTGTTGTGCTGCTGCATGCCGCCCTCCAATTTCCCTAAACACAATTTGGCAAACAAGATTCCAATGCTTGATGCCGTCTCACTTTGCTTAATAAATATTATATTATATATATAATATAATAATAATAATTATCGCTCAAAGATGAGTGGAGGTCCAACAAAATATAATGGATACAGAAGGCTTAGACTATTTTTTACATAGGAGGGAAGCACGACTAGACCATGGTTATTCTTGTCGAAATGGCATGCTCTATTTCAATGGGGCAATTTATGTTCCTGATAGTGGTGACCTTCGCCGGAGGTTGTTAGAACTTTACCACAGCTCATTGGTTGGTGGCCACTCTGGCAAACAGAAAACCTACAGCCAGTTAGTGACGAATTTCTATTGGCCTGGTATACGCAAGGATAGGAACCCACTTGCGTTTGTGTCTTTTTTTTTTTTTTTAATGGTTGCCGGCAACCAGCAACACCCCGCTCTTGATTCATGGTGCTCTCCGGCAATTTGAGAAGAGCTACAAAGCTGCTGATGAAAATCCTTTTAGTTTTTCCAGATATTTCAATCTGTCTATGTGCATCAAATCCAAATGCTCGAGAAGTTGCAGTCGATAAAGCAGCTTTTCCACCGGCAACACCGGTCACCGGTTTCTCCAGCTAAGGAGAAGGCCGCTGGTTGCAAATTTGACACCAAATACTACAAAATAAATGTAAAAGCAATGAAGGGAAAGGGAAAGGGAAAGGATCACAAGCATGGCAAAGAATTTGAAGGAAATTCTTCAGAGTTTTGAACCTTAATTGGATACTCGATCTAAAAGATTAAATGTTGAAAATCACTACAGAACTTAAGCAGAAATGAAAATCCACCTACTATATGTTCTTCATTCTACTTTTTTTCTTTTGTTAGTAATAATCATTAACTTAACTAGAGCTACAGAGTTGTATTTCTTGAGACTAGAAAAGTAAATTTATATGTATTGTTGGTGTTTGAGGAGTGCAAAACCCGTCGTGTCACATAATACCTCCAGCACTCCTCCTACACTGTGAAGCTGGCCGTTGTCCTCCCAGACACCACGGTAAATGATCCGGGCAGTTGAGGCAGTTGTGATCAAGGCTAGCCCGCGCTTTTTCTCCTCCCGTCATGAATTCTGATGGCAAAGTTCCCTCCAGGTAATTGTACTCTAGATTAAGATTTCTCCATAGGCTTCTCAACCTTGAGCCATATTCCTTTGGGATTTTACCAAAAAACCTATTGTGGCCTAGATTGACTGTTTTGAGATTCAGATATGTGATTATGTTGAGAGGCAAGTGGCCTTGAAGCAGATTACTGTGTGCATCGAGTACCTGAAGCCGTGACTCTTTAGTACTCGATTTGGTCACCTCAATTCTTGTGAAGTGGTTTGCTGAAACGTTTATACGCATCAGCTCGGGTAATGTGACTATTCGGTGGAGGATTGGTCCCGAAAATCTATTGTCGCTAAGGTCTAATGCTGTGAGATATCGAAGCCTACTTATGGCGGAAATGTGGCCAGTAAGTAAATTGTGTCCTAGCAATAATGTTCTTAACCTTACAGGAAATGGAGGTAGGCCTGCAAAGAACTGGTTACTGCTTAGAGCTAAAGTGTTGAGCTGCCACAGCCCGGAAAGGTCAGGGATTTTGCCTGTTAATTCATTGTTTGAGAGATCTAAACGAGTTAGCTCACGAAGGGCGGTGATTGTTGCAGGGATTGAACCCGAGAGCCTGTTGTGCGAGACGTCAATAACTTCCAGCTTCCTCAGCCTTCTCATATATCTAGGCAAACCCCCCGAGAAGAAATTTTCGGAGAGCAGAAGCCTGGTGATCTTCCTCAAATTGATAATGCTATCTGGGATTGGCCCTCTGAACTTGTTCCTGTTTAGGTTTAATGTAGTGAGCTCAGTGAGGTTTCCGATCTCCGGTGTCAAGAACCCCTCCAGTCCATCTCCTTCAAGATCAATAACTGATATCCTGCCACTTGAGTTGTCTGATGGGGTCATACACAGAATGCCTAAAAAGTGTGTCCCTGTGGCTTCACAGGGGTCTAAGTCTAAGTTCCAACTACTTAGAAATGAGGCTGGGAGGACGGAATTCGGATCAATGGAGTCTTTGAAGGATCTAAGAACTTGAACATCAGATTCTAAGGTTTTTGCATTGAGAAAGCATGGGTTCATCAAAGTTAGAATTGTGGTGGCTAAAGCTGTAGTATATAAGCAAAGGTAGGTCGAGGAGAGAGCTGATGATTTGGCCATTTCACAAAGGAATTAGTGTAAAATTGGGGTGACTTAGACATTGTATCTGATGAGACCTCCTTATAGGCAGCATGTAAAGTTGATGGAATAGAATTAGGATTATCATACTTTCTCAGAGATGGCTCATGAAAAAATAGTTTTCTTTCAAGTAGGTTGCAAGTATGGAAAGTGCTAATCACAATGTTGTTTATCCACTATTTACCATAATTTTTACAACATAATTGGTTTACGAAATAGAGTAGCATTCATAGGAATAGACATATTCTATCGTTTAGTAAGTCATTTCATTTCCGGAAATAAATGATCTATTCCTATGAATAGTTTATATTTTGTAATACCTACTAAAGATCTTGTGATTGAGTGGCATAGTTGTGACCCCTCAAATGAGAGGTCTTAAGTTTGAATCCTAGTGTGGAGTTTTTTTGACTCTTTGTGCTTCAGTGGGTTGAAAAAGTATGTATAAACAGATACTAGAGTCAATAGTATTAAAAAAAAAAAGTTAATATTGTGTAATACCTAATTTATCGTTATCTATTTTTGTTAACAATAATAATGAGATGATGATGAAAATTGCACTTTTAGTCCCTAAGTTAAAAGATAATTGTAGAATCCGTTCCTAAGTGTTGGTCATACTCACTTTTCGTCCATAAGTTATACTTTTCGTCCATAAGTTATCATTGACGTTGCAGTTTTCGTCCCTTTACTAATAAAACATTAGGGATAAAATTTGCAATTTTAGTATAACTCAGGGACGAAAAGTGAGCCCGAAAGGACGAAAAGTGCAATGTCATTACGTCAATGATAACTTAGGGACGAAAAGTGAGCATGACCAACAGTCAATGACGAATTATATATAATTACCATATAACTTAGGAACGAAAAATGCAATTTTTTCTAATAATAATAATAATAATAATAATAATAATAATAATAATAATAATAATATCATCATTACTACTACTATTGTTGTTGTTGTTATTGTTATTGTTGTTGAATTGTTGTTGTTGTTGTTGTTGTTGTTGTTGCATGCATATATCAGTGTGGATGGTAATTTTTCATTCTCAATGTTTATTGTATTTCATCGACCAAACAATGGAATCAAAATCCTATTTTATTTTCTATAGAATAAAATCCTTCAAAATTTATTCGGTGAGCCAAACGCGCTTCTAGTGAATTATACCCATTGTTAAGCCAATTAGGTTTGATTCTAGTATTGTTTGGTCGGTAATTCCCAACTCAGTTTAAAAAATTTAAACTGTCGAATTTTTTTTTCGGCCACCTTTATTTTGTGGTCGGTATTTCCAACCATTAAGTAAATGTGGTTGGAAATTTCGACCTATTTCTCCACCTTAATCCTTTGACCAAAAATTGAAAAAAATGACACATTTTGACCATTTTTTTAGGTGGTCGGAAAAGTGGTTAAAAAATCAAAAATTTCCAGCCGTGTTTGGATCTTCGTGGAGATAGGATATTTTCCATCTTTTGCAGTGACACTTTTGTATATATTAGGCTATTGTAAACTTTCATCTGTATATCTATATATGTATAAAAGATAGACTATTGTACTATTTCATCTCTGTATCTGTATGAAAGTTAGCCTATTGTAATATTTCACCTCTTATGTAATGTTTTACATTTATGTTTATTTAATTTTGAGTCTAAAATGCAATTTAGTACACAACAATTAATATGTAAAATAAACATATATGGCATACCTAACCACCATTAGTGAAACCTTCCACATGAACAACTTATAAAGGATCAATTTGCAATGTACATGTCAAATATATAGTTAAAAATTCCAGGTGTAAAATTAATCTAAAATAGGTAAATATTAAGTATAAAATTGAAACGTTCAATTAAGGACACACATTAACAACCTGTGTATAAGATGATGGAATTGTATATTTGAGAAGAGATTGAACCAATTCAACCTGTAAGTAGAACATATCATCATAATAAAGCTATTAAAAAATAGGGAAAATGGTTAAATAACCCTCGAACTTTAGCTAAAAAGTCAATTAGCCCCTTTAACTTTTTAAAGGTGCAACCCAATAGGGTAACTCAAGTGGCAAATGAGCTCTCTTTGTGGAGGAGAATTTTGGGATAACTCGGGTTCAATTCCCACAAGTGACAATTCCCTCTGGGCTAGCTTCTGTGTCTCTCGGAGCGATTGGGTGGACCTGGATCGTTGAACGGACAGAGAAAAACTTGGACCACATTGTGGTTTACATAAAAAATAAAAAAAAATAAAAAAACTTTTTAAAGGTGCAATTACACCCATCAACAATGCATATTGATGCAATGAAGCCCAAATACAGGTAAATCAACAATTATGGACCGCAGTCCACAAAGTTTTGTGGACCATGGTCCAAAACGGCAGACACTATAGTGTATCTAAACTGAAACTATCTCACGTATTATTTTTATTATATTATCAAATGAAACTGCAATTGAATTGAAATGAAACTGTAGTTGTGTTGATATAAAACTGCAGTGTATATAAAATGAAAATGAATAATAATTTCACATATTTGAGGGTATATTTTTCAACAAAACTGTAGTTGTATCAAAATGATACTGTAGTTGTGTTGAAATGAAACTATAGTGTATATTTGCCCAGGTAAATGACCTGCTATCATAGGCCATTGGAGATCCGATCACTTTCCGGCAATAATTTCAGGCAAAAAAGTGACCGGCGATTGGCGATCAGCGAACGGTTGCCCGTCAAGGAGAAGGCAACCACTGGTTACGACCACAATGGTTGCTGATGGGGAATATACCCCGGGTTCAGGCTCCCCGTACGCTCTGTGCTCCTACTTGGGCCGGGTCACGCGGTTCGGGTCAGAGTCAACGGGTCAAGGTCAACCGGCCAACCCTTGACCTTATAAATAGGGCCTTATCCCTCCAAGTTAGGGGTTCCTCTCCTTGCCCTCCTACACTCCCCCTCTCTACAATGGAAATCTCTCCCTTCTCTCTAAAACAACACAAGAGCCATTGTGAATAAAGGAACCATTGAACTATATTTTCCTCTTGTGTACACACATTATGGTTCATACTTATTACATACAGGGCCGTTCTAATAAAAATTGGGGTCCTGTGCAATATCTTAAATTGGGCCCCATTTTTTAAGTAATTTCCATATATAAATAATAGTTGTTCAAAACGTTGTGTCAAAAATTCAAAATATAAATATTGTATAAAAAAAATACATCTAAAATTTCATTTAAAAATTGACATGCACCGTGCACACTTAGACGCAAAAACATCCATCAAACTTTTGATATCAACTTCTTCTATTTGGCAAATATCTTGTGTAAAATGCAGATGAAAATATTCTAGAGAATTTATCTTTAGGAACTTTATTTATTGATAAATCTCTTTTAGGATCATATTTCACAAGAATATCTATTAATTAATTTAATTTAGAATCAAGGGCATCCCAATTTCATGGATCATATATATCAAATAAAAGCGAACCATTTGGTTTATCTCTGTGACCAACATCATTTAAACAACTATCAACATTATTATTATTTTTATTGTCACGGTGATACCTATCATCGTTGTGTACACTATCATTTAATTTGTTTCCAATCCCACAATCATATGATCTTCTATATGAAGATTAGCATCTAACAATAATTTTTCCTTGGCATAATCTTTTTGCTCATCTATTTGAGGTTTTTTTTTTTTTTTTTTTTTTTTTTTTTTTTTTAAGTTTTTCAAGAGCTCCATTTTAAGATTGAGTTAGTTGCTCAATTCTTCTTTTCTTTTTATACTTCACAAACTAAGATGAATAGGAAATTTGTAGGAAATTTGTTTTTGTTCCATTTTCTTTTTTCTTACTTCACAAACTAAGAGCTCCATTTTCTTTTTGTTCAATTGCGTAGGAAATTTGTTGTCTTCCTTGAATCTCTCGTTTGTCGTGCTTTGTAGAGTAATAGGGGATTAGAGTTTGTCGCCTACCTTTGTCTATATATACTATATAATATATATTGTTTAATTTGGGGCCCCCAAAACTTGGGGGCCCTGTGCAAAGGCCCTGATTACATACGGTACACACATCTTATTACGTGGGAATTATCCGTATCAGTTGCCTTCTCAACCAGAGAAGGTAATATCTGGGTTGCCTTCTCCGGTTGAGAAGGCGACCCAGTGGTTGCTTTCTCCGTGACCGGCGATAGTTCGCCAGTCATTTTTTTGCCTGAAATTATTGCTGAAAAGTGGCCAGATCTCTAATGACTTGTGATACCAGTTTATTTACCTGTATTTGGGCTTCATTGCATCAATATGCATTGTTGATGGATGTAATTGCACCTTTAAAAAATTGAAGGAGCTAATTGACTTTTTTAGTTAACGTTCGAGGTCTATTTGACCCTTTTCCCTACAAAAAAAAAAAATATAAAGAATTTTTTTTAAAGCAAACAAATATGAAAAACTTAATTCTTAAAAGACAAATAATAAATGAAAATGAAAGAGAATCAGTTATTAAATATTTAGATTAAAATTAAAGGGCGTTATTTTACTATTAATCTAATCAACAAAGAATACAACCAAATTGTGTGCTACCTGCAAAAAATACAATTGAAATTTTAATTTGATTTACCTAATCTAAGTAATCTCACAAATAGCACTACTAGTCTATAGCAAACTTGAAATACTCAAATTAAAGATTTCAATTACCATCTTTTCAAGAAAAAAATTGTTCAATTGCGTAGGAAATTTGTTGTCTTCCTTGAATCTCTCGTTTGTCGTGCTTTGTAGAGTAATAGGGGATTAGAGTTTGTCGCCTACCTTTGTCTATATATACTATATAATATATATTGTTTAATTTGGGGCCCCCAAAACTTGGGGGCCCTGTGCAAAGGCCCTGATTACATACGGTACACACATCTTATTACGTGGGAATTATCCGTATCAGTTGCCTTCTCAACCAGAGAAGGTAATATCTGGGTTGCCTTCTCCGGTTGAGAAGGCGACCCAGTGGTTGCTTTCTC